GGCCGCCTGGGTAAAACACTGAATATACTGATCGACAAACAGATAAAGACACTGTTGCATTAGCCCGATGTCGCGTTTACGCGTTTACAGTACACGCGTTTACAGTAAACGCGTTTACACACGCGTTTACAGCACACGCGTTTACAGCACACGCGTTTACAGTACACGCGTTTACAGTACACGCGTTTACAGTACACGCGTTTACAGTAAACGCGTTTACACACGCGTTTACAGCACACGCGTTTACAGCACACGCGTTTACAGTACACGCGTTTACAGTACACGCGTTTACAGTACACGCGTTTACAGTAAACGCGTTTACACACGCGTTTACAGCACACGCGTTTACAGCACACGCGTTTACAGTACACGCGTTTACAGTACACGCGTTTACAGTACACGCGTTATCGGTGCACACCCCAGTTTACAGTACACGCGTTTACAGTACACGCGTTTACAGTACACGCGTTTACAGTACCCGTGTTTGCAGTACCCGCGTTTACAGTACCCGCGTTTACAGTACCCGCGTTTACAGTACACGCGTTTACAGTACACGCGTTTATAGTTTACAGTACCCGCGTTTACAGTACACGCGTTTATAGTTTACAGTACCCGCGTTTACAGTACACGCGTTTATAGTTTACAGTACCCGCGTTTACAGTACCCGTGTTTACAGTACGCGCGTTTACAGTACACGCGTTTACAGTTTACAGTACCCGCGTTTATATGGTTGTATAGCCCAGTCAAAAGCTAATTACACTGTAATTTGACAAAATACACTGTATTTTTGACCGAAAACAGTGTATTACAAAGAAAACAGTGTATTGCAGGCAGATTACACTGTAATAGACAAATACGGCGTTTGTAAGACAGAATACAGTGTATCTGAGGAATTCACTGTATCGCAGCCAGTACACTGTAACGTCCCTCCAATACACTGTAACGCCTCTCCAATACAGCGTAAAAGTCAATACACTGTGACGCCCCTCCAATACAGTGTAACAGTCACAGTACACTGTGATGGCTCTAATACAGTGTTACACTGTAATGATCCCAATACGCTGTAATGATCCCTACAGTGTAATAGACTCAATACACTGTTATGATCTCATTACACTGTAATAATGCTCAATACACTGTAATAAGAAATGCGGATGGAACCTTGCAGTACCGCTTCGTTCCGCCAGTCAGAATGCAAGCACAAGGGGACTTGGGGATCACCAGGCGTGCTTGTGCTTACGTACAGGCTAGAGTCATTAAAAAGTGCTTGATGACCCGGTACCTTTATCATAGGCAAGAAATACCTTTTATGTCATGTCCTACCTGGGCCGCCCGTGTGATAACTATCGGTACGATTTAAGGGCTTCTAAATATTCCAAAGAATAAATTGAACGCGTTTCCGTTGTATTTTTTTGTTTAAATACACCAAATTTTGGCGCATTTTGTTTTCTCGGGTGGGTATGTGACATAAATAAAATATTCACGGTGTATTTCGTATCACCCTCGGTACCACCTTTTATTTTTAATGTCCATTAGTAAAAATACCTTTCAAAGCAATTTTGTGCATTCTCTTAAGCTTTGTGCTAAATAGTATAGAGGTTATGTATGGGGTTATCAGAAAACCACGTGTGAAACCAGCTACCATATACAGCTACCATATACACAAGCCATTCCAGCATTAGGACTATAAGATCCTACAACGAAAAAATACAAAAATTATTTTGTCAGTTAGACAATCACGTCTCAAAAACATCTCAAAACAAAGTAGAAAATGATGCACACTAAATGCTTATACGTCAAGGAATCACTAGGTTTAGTACATCGAAAACGGCGCGACAGCAGTTAAGAACACATTACACCCAAACCAAATAGATATTAAACAATTGCGTACACGTTGCACGAGTAAAAACATGTTTAATAAGGTCTCATAAAAATAAAATGAGATCAAATCATTCTAGTACTACACTAAATATAATACATGTCCGAAACAAAAATGTCTACTCTAATCATACTTGATTATTCTAAAATAAATATGTTTTAATATGTAACTACAAAGGACGTCCGTGGCAAAAGTTACAGCGCAGAGGGGAAGCTTACAATGCACACATCACTTGCAATATGGGATTTAGATAGATGAGGAACATACACACAATCTATCTGATACATCCCTTTAGTTGTTGTCTTGTCATGTTACAATTTGGAAAACAAGAGTTCCATGATCTCATACCTTCACCACTTATACAATTATACATTGCTTAAGCATCGCTTCCGCTACCTACATATCAAAAGTCACGACAATCCGCGGAGAATATCAAACGCTCATGTAGGTCCAGGACAAGCTGATCATATGAGAAGAACTAGTGGCACTTCTTCCTGAACACAAGAGCTATCTTCTTTGCAAACTTTGTGACCATAGCACGTCTACTTTATGACATATCAAAACCACAAAGTTCTGCTGCATTACCAAGCAAAGCCACCAGGGAGCCCTAATTCTAATCACTTTAAGATTTGTGGCCAGCCTGTCCACACACCAAACATTATTAGGTTACATTTATACCTTCTTGAGGTATCTGTTCACAGACAAACACTGAAAACATGACCTTTACGGCGAATGTAATAAATACATAGTTAGCCAGGGCTGTTACTTCAATGAATGCTTAAAAAAGTTATTTAGGTCCCTGTTTCAAAGTTTCATACATTTCGATATACGCTTTCCTAAACATAAAATGTTACCTTGCTATGCTAGCTTAGTATACGTTGGTACTTCATGATGTATGTCATCAAGCTTGGGAGAAACCTTGCAATGAATTATGCAAACTGAGGCCTGCTGTAGTTGAATCCTAAACATTTTTGAAACATATGATACATGGATTTCATTGTTGCTTTTATGCAAATGTTAGAAAATTTGTTACTACGCTGAGAAAATTATCCATTGCTGTTGTAGTGAGGTAGTAATGTCGTGTTTTGATAGATCATTGGTATCTTTAATCGTCCTGGTTCTCGTTCTGGTTTTGGTATTCTTGTATGATCAATTTTGCTAAGAGGAACTTGTCCCTCCCATTTCCGTTTTCTAGTTCGAACGGTAAAACTTCCCTGAAGAGATTTTCGATACATTCCCGATCAATTTGTAATTCCCCACGCCTGCATATCTTCATCAGATACTCCTCCTCGGTTTCGTCTTCAATGAGTGTGTTAACGTCAATAGGAGGCCCGTTGAAATGTTCAATTACTGAAGTGTAACCTGAATTTCTGAATCGTTGGTAGCCGGTAATCCTTAACTGTTTGGGGCTCATTCTATATTCTGTCGTTCGGATAGGATGGTTGTCATACCAATTTCTGAATTGTTGTAGTGCATTATTGATTATGGGAAGATAGACAAAGTGCAGTGCAAAAATGTCGATATCAGATGACGGGTCCAATGTACCCTCTCTTTCAAAACGTTGAAACAGCTTCCTAAAATGTCTGGTGCAATGATCTCCCATTGTCCCCCAAAAGCGCTCGATAGGCACATTTCTGACAGACGGACCAGTTAAGTGTGCATTGTGACCATGACCTCTTAGCTCTACCATAAATCTGCCAATCTCAGAATTCTCCCCGCCGTCGTCCGTTCGAATTCTGCTGGGGATGCCGTATTCCCTGCAGCCTCGCAGGAAAGCTCTCATCATGAAGGCGGCTGTGTTGGATCCGGTGGCGCTCAGGAACGTGCAGGTCTTGGAGTATCCATCGACGCCGCCTTGAATTGTAATCCCCCAGCAGACTGCCGTCCGGCTGCAAAAAGGAACGTAAGGTGAAAAATCTCTACAAAAAAGACACAATCACAATCACAGAATCGTATCAGAAGTGATTACGGGAAGCATCTTTTTGCGTTTTACACTCGTGTGTTCACAGGTTTATTTACCTTCGCCAAGAGGCGTTCGTCTCTTTCTCTGAAGACTTACATTGTATGTGTTGATACCGATATTTTGTAGGTGGTTAGGTCTTTATGAGAATTACAAATGATCAGATCTTGGGTCCGCTATTAGCTTGAAATGGTACTGCACCGGAACATTTTCCATGATTCCCTGAGGACGGGTTTTCAGTGGAAACAAGGACTGTTTGCGTTGGACAGTACCCTCCTCACGTGATACGAGAAGCACACAAAATGCTAAAATATCATAAAATTCTATTCTTATATTTTTTTTTTTTAATTTTATCATCAACGCCTGAAGAGAGCAAAATTACGAAAGCGTCCGAAGTTAGGGCACACTGTCTAGCGTAGTCGCATTCACGAAGGTACATTCACATCTCAGATTTATCGCTTGTAACGCGGAACGTGAAGGGCTCATGAATACTAGTAGTATGAATGGATTTCCTGACCACTCTCTGACAACTAGCGAAAGGGCGCCGTGAGTTCGAGCGCGTGAAAAAAGCGTCGGATGTTAGGGCATCCACCGTAATGTGTGTGCTGGGGAAGAAGTGATATTATTTCGGGCCTCCTAGCGACTTATTCTTTAACTACAGGGCGTGTGTGGAAATATATTTAAAGGAGGATAACCAAAGAACCAGTTGACGGATCGAGGCGATTTTTGGGTACGTAAGTAGCTTACGTGATGCTGGACATAATCATATGACTAGTTTGCAAATATGGATATAATTTGCGAAACTTTGCGTGACAACCTGCGGTACCGGTTTACAGCGCACTTATCCGTTTAAACTCAGAACGAGAGAAACAAAGCCATGGGCAGACATGTACACTAATGAAGACGCCATTAGCATAATCAAGGAGAATTTTATATTAGTTTAGGTGCATATTAGTTTCTTATTATTATAATAAGTCCTGTAGCGTTAACATTGTTGTTAATGTGATGTCTAGAATTGTTTGCCTTCGTTGTGATTTTCAGATTTTTTTGTTTTGTTTATCGTGTTTGGGATAGCATATATTGCACTTACCCATTTCTTCGTGGGTGTCCGTTCAATTTGTGGTGTGTGTCACAATGGACAATCCAACCTGTCAATGTGATAAAAACGCATTAGTCATTTTTTTCTTATTGTCTATGTGTCGTCGAAGACCGACTATACATGATGTTCTACACCTGACACATACGTTCACCTCACAAATACATGTGTCGCAGAAATCCGGTATATATGAGTTTCACTGCCCGGGGATGATTGATTGATAGTTTGCAGCCAATTAAAGTCTTAGTAGAATTATAGATATAGAACACAACACGGGGTATTCCGTATCGCCCGAGATACCGGCCCGAATCGCGGGAGAGCTGGGAGCAAGGGCGATGCGGAATACACCGTGTTATATGTGTTGTATTTTATCTATGTTATACCCACCCATGAGGACATGTTTTCGAAACTTTTTATGGAAGCCATGGAAGATCGGACCGTACCGTTCTCGACAATGACCAGTGACATCACTTCAGCTGGGCGGGTATGACATAAATTATATGTCTACGGGTCTCCCGCGAGTCGGATCTCCGTCCGGCCGTCGGGCGATCCGACTCGCGGTCGGCCGATACCTCTTGCGATACGGAATACCTGTATGTATATTTCCTATGCATGAAGCTCAGGATGAAATAACACAGCCCATAAATGTAACTAATAAATATTGTTTAATTTGTTCCAGTTAAAACGATTTTGTCTTGTAAGACTTTTACTCCTCACAGTGGCCGCAAACTCTTCACGTATGAAAAGCATATAAGAATAGGATGTCTGTTTCATAAGAATTATTGTGACGGCGTCTATAAGCGTTCGAGTCTTGATGTCCAAAAAGTCCCTATTAATTTTTAAGGGATTACATTGACCATCCTTTCCCATTTCGGACATGGTTTCCAGGGTACACACAAATGTGTGACGCGATCGTCATATATATATACTAGTATATATGTGTGTTTTTCGCGGCTTACCGTTGTGCGTCATGTACGACAAATGTCATATCATATGATCATCATGTACCTGGTTTCTACAGCGCACATATGTGAGCGAAGCACTTATATATATCTAGTGTGTAAAGCGCATATATGTCTGTCTTAAAAAACCAGATACACATGTCCTTTACCTCACGTACACACATGTGTGCTGGTAAACTGACATATATACATATATATGTTCTTCAACCACACGTGTGTCTGTCGTGAAAACCAGATATGGGCTTTACCTTACACAATTGTTAAAATCCGACCTATATATATTCTTTCCCTACACAATTACACAATGGTATAGCACAAATAGTTTCGGCAACAACTACAGACAGCTTCAGGATGCCCGACGAGGCCGGCCTGGCCTCGCCACTCCTTAGACAGTTACATATTGCAGATACTTAGTACAAAGTGGGCGTGCACATATTATATGAAGTTTTGATATGACAAACACAAGGAAGATTAGCTTCACCTGGGCAGTGCGCTCGATAGGGCTGTCTTTCTACTGGTCTCTGCCACCGAGCAGCTATCATCGGCCCACCGACTCGCTGGAGAGACTCCGACACCCTCCGTGTAGGGACTACAACTCCGTCACTGCGCAAGGCACCCATTGCCAGGTTTCTTCCACAGTTAGAGTCGTTTTCTAAGATGCTTCTCATCCTGGTGTCCAAATCTTCATCCGATATGTTTGTGTACCGTTCTCTTTGCAGCAAACCAAGCTCTCTCCTCCTTCTATATAAGGTCGAGTCAGACACTCCTGTTAAAAATAAGCAAGATCCTTGTTGTTATAACTGTTTAAAGATAGATTGTCGACATACTCTAAGTATACCAAAAAGTACCGGAAACAGCTTATTACCTCCGGGGAAGGAGATATCCTTCCGCGAGGAGGTTTTACTATGGTTCGAAACATTTCTGTCAGCAGCTGTTTCTCGCGATCGGATGGACGGATTGGTCTGTTGTTCGGTATACGTATTGCTATTGGGCTGCAGATGATGCAGAACGTTTTTGTTTAATTGCATATGTGTTTATGGGCGTCGAAATAAAATGTTTTTAAGTGCTCCGGACACCCCCGCCATGCTGAAAATGGAATTTACCATGTTGTTAAGGAATGGGGAGTTGCAGTTTTGGGTCTTAGCATTTAAAAGGGGTCAATCAGAGGGGTGTCTGGTTCCGATAAAAAATTTGGGTGACGGCGCAGCAATGACGGCGGGGGTAATGGCGCGGGTGACGGTGCAGGCTGTCAGACTGACTTTGATCAACAGTCCATACCGAACCAACCGTCAGTAGCCATCAAACACATACAAACATATTACGCACATAACTTTCATACTACACACAAACAAATAACCTAAACCAATAGAATACAAAAAAAACCCGGAGGTTTGAAATCTACGATTTTCCTTGTTATAATACTCAAAATGTCAAGTGACACGTATACGCACATGCCTCGCTATACTAATCAGGTACATGCCCGCAGCCTCCACACACACACACACACAGACACGGGGCTGAAAGGTTCATTTTATATACTAGTATATTGAAACTTAAAATTTGAAATTCTAACCCTCTGAAACGCATTTTCCTGCATTTTCGGGGGAAGATTTTGCTGGTACACAATCCTAAGTTTAATATCGCCATTCGACTACATTTCGTCTATTCGTCAATCTCATCTCAGTTCACCTCCACACAATTTCTTTCGTAGGACATTCTGAGATCGGGCAAAAAATGTTGAGTCAGTCCTTGGTTTAATTAAAATTACCTCATGGTGTTTCGGCATGATTTTTGTGGCATCTACTCACGTATATACATGTAGTATTTTAGCAGAACTCTATGGTACAATACAATACAAACAATAATACAAACACTTGGTAATATATATACTTGCATGGATACGTCAAATCAACAAGGTGGAGGTCTCCCTTCCTGGCAAAATTTGAATCATAAGTTCAAACAGAGACGGGAGGAGACAGCTTTTACATAATTGCAAACAATCAAGTCTTGACAGAAACACACGTCATGATATGACAGCTCAAATTGGCCAGTCAGTAACTATTTCCCCATCCAAAGTGCGGAGGTTAAATACAACTATTTTATTGTATTTAACCTCCTTGGTTTGACCGAAGTTACTTTTGAAGACAGAAGAAGATAAAAGATGCCTGTCTTTCTTAAATTTAGGGTTTTTCGGAATTTACAAAATGCAGTATCAAAACTCCTACGCCCGGAGCTGGGTAGGATGCTAGTTTGAACAAATGTTTCAAAAACGCAACAATAAATGTTTCATCACGTGTTTTCCGATATGATGACGGAAGCTTTGAAGTAAACTCGTGTCGATCAATTGCAATTTCTTATCACCCACATGTGCTTTTTACGTTATATGTGGCACCGCGTTCACACCGTCTGGACACCGATTATTAACAACGCTGTTCTGACTTCCTTGTGAAAACCAATGACAGACTGATTACTAATCCTCTTGTGCATTTAGCCCATCTGGGCAAGAACATGCAATAAAGATTCATATCATATCACTAAGCACTGTGATTACTAAGTGTGGGAGTGAATACCGTACTAGGATTTCCTAAATTCAGAAACGAGAGCGAAACTATTACCAGATGTTGCCGCATCTTGCTCAAGCCTTCTAATGTTGTTACCGAACCTTGCATATCGCTCATTTCGTTGGGCCTTTCTCCCATTTCACAATTTTCTGCACTGTTGGGACTGAGCGATTCTTTCAGGTTGACCTAAATTAAGCAACCATTTCGTAATACCTGAAATAATCCATCCACTTTTCTGGAAATCAAAATGTTGCCCCATACTGTCATTATGAAACTTGTTCTTTTGGTATATATGGCCGAGATAAACCTGTCTCGTGCAAGAGACTGGACGGCTGGAAAGAGTAGAAATCGCGGCGAACTGTTCTCTCAACGGACAAACTCCCTTGGCATGCTTATTTCTCTATTTGACCGATTTCTACTCTTTCCAGCCGCCTCGCCAAGCCTGGTAGAGGCTACCCCTAGACTACACGTAGGTGCAAAGTGTATAGCCTCCTTCGCAGTCCTGTTGGGCGTCGGCGTAATTTTTTCTCTGAGCGACGCGAGTAATATGCCGCCGCGAGGGACGATTTGCTGCCGAGGGACTTTTTGCCACGGAGAGAAGGTTTCGCGCTCCAACATTGGTAATGTTACAACAAAGGCATTGCTGTGCATATTGAAGCGTCCCATGCAAACAAACCAAGACAATTTGCAGTACTATTTTTGCTGGCGAAATGTGCCATTCTTTCTATTACGCAACTTGCTGTGGAGCGGTGCGTTACCCTCCCATGATCTGGAGATCAACCCGCCACCAAACTAATCCCCAAGCAAATCTTTTGGTGGGGGCAAGGACATTATACATAATGTCCTTGGTGGGGGTAAGACAGTATCAAATTGGCCAGTCTGTATCCATTTCCCCACCCAAGCTGCTTGGAGATTACACCAAACAACATGGCGGCACTGTCCACGTCTCCCAGCAATATCACAGTTTAGCTTGCGGGTTCCTGTGGTAGTGATCTTTTCAAAGTTGTTTTTCGGAGCAGCAATGTCTCCGGTATTTTGTTGAGTGGATAGGGCTCGGTTTTCGGGAATGGTTGGCGTTCTACCGACGGGTTGATCGGCGACCGCTAGAAAGTTGCAAGTTTTGGCTTGTCGAGCAACGGGGCGTGAACACCACCCTGCACTGGTGGCGTTTATTGCGGGAAGTTCACACATCCATGCCAATCGCTCCTAAGTGTTTTTTGATAGCCCTTTCTACTCGCCGACTGGAAGCAGTCTTGTTGGAGCGCGGAAACCTTCTCTCCGTGGCAAAAAGTCCCTCGGCAGCAAATCGTCCCTCGCGGCGGCATATACATTACTCGCGTCGCTCAGAGAAAAAATTACGCCGACACCCAACAAGACTGCGAAGGAGGCTACAAAGTGTACGTGCTTCAACCGAGGGTTTCCCCTCTCCACCCCCACCCCATGCACACTAGATTTCTTGGGACCAATCAGATGGTCGCTATTCGCGGTCACCGACCGTCTCCAACAATTATCCAATAACAGACTACTTAGTATTCGGTACCCTGGCTCTAATTACTTGTATCTCCTCACTTCCGCTGGGGCCTTGCCTTTTTTTGGGGGGGGGTACTTGTGGTAGACAACATCCCTGCCTATCATTACAATGTTTTTTTTTTAATCATAAGACAAGTCGTTGTGTTGCAAAAATCGCAATGTCTAGTCAATGTGAAAACGATGTAGCCTCCGTAGCAGGCTTATAGAACTGGGGGTTTAGTGGTGGTCTTCGTCTGTTTTCTTATTAGCCCAGTTCTAATTCAACCATGCCGGCTATGTTGTCTATATGCAATCAGAAAATAGTACATAAAAGCTCCCAAAGACCATGAACGACCCGCCCCCCCCCCATTTTTGGCAGGCTATGGAGGCTAAAAACGATGCTAAAAACTTCTTACCTTGAATCCTAGCGGCGACATGAAACGCCACCCCTGCTTGAAAAGACTCGGTCAGTTCGCCTGGATCAATAATGAACCTCGGTCTTCCTCCTGTCGCTTGAACTTCAGGGATTCTTTGTTGAGATACGTCCAAAATCTGTTGTCTGATCTCTTCCATGGTCGTTGATAAAGTTTCCTGTAGTCGCCGAAGTTCTATCTTAATCCCGTGTATCGAAGGAGTGACATCTTCACCTCGTAACCGGTCTAGTCGTACACGCATTAACCTAATCTCACTCACGGAACGTTGAAGTTCTTGCTCAACATCTGTCATTGCCCGGAGACTGGATGCAGAGTTTAAGACATCCCTGGCTTCTCGCCAGACGCTGTCTGCATTTTCGAGAAGGTCGTCTACTTCTTCAGGTGTAACGCCAATAGCTGTTGAAAAAAGACACACGGAGAACGTTAGACAGAATTCACTAACGCCATAGCAGTAAGGAAGGGGAAACAGATAAAGGCACACAATATTTTTCAAACCCTTCATAAATGAAATAATCGTGCTCACCTGTCACGCGTAAGAAATCCCCCGTGGATATAAGGACTAGGACCAGGAGAGGATGAAGGAACATCATCTTCACCTCGGAGAAAAGTCGTTGCCTAACATTAGAGATACCGTCGATGAAATGAATTTTTGCACTCCTCTTGTCAATTAGCCACAGACGCTCTCAAGATGCAAATACAAATCGCGCTTGTTGCCACCGGCCTTACCGATATTTGCTAATTAATCCCAGTCAGCGACAAATACTCCCTCATAAAAAGAATATTGTTTATCGCAAATACGTGTACATGTCTGATTTCTCATTGCACATTGTACACATAACATAGATTACAAGATTGGTTAAAAGCGAGCCAAGTCGTATTGCGGTTTCTTGATTTCAGTTTACCCAACTTTGGGTGAGTTCATAAGTTCACCATTCTGTTCACCGTTCACACCGTCTGGTCACCGATGCATAACAACGCTGTTCTGACTTCCTTGTGAAAACCAATGACAGACTGATTACCAGGACTGATTACTAAGCACTGTTATTACTAAGTGTGGGTCTGAATACCGTACTAGTACTTAGATTTCCTAAATCCAGAAACGAGAGCGAAAGTTTGAGCAAGATGCGACAACATCTGGTAATAGTTTCAAATTATTACTAGATGTTGTCGCATCTTGCTCAAGCCTACACTTTCAGGTGGACCTAGATAATGTGTAACGGTTGTGACTATTTTAATTATGGTAATATGTAAGTGACCATATGGAGAGACTTGTGACCATATGGAGAGACTTGTTATAGAGAGATATGCATATATTAGCGCGTTAGGTAGGCCCTGATTGGTTGGCAAGCAAACAATCAGGTGAAGGACTATTGTCAGCATAGTCGAGCCTGGAGGTGACAACCGCTCTGTGAGCCAGTTCGACGCCTGCCTGGACTCAAGGTATGTATATCTGTAGTTGTAGCTCTGTAGATTAGTACTGTATAACTGTTAGTACCTCATCGGTGCAATCCTAGACCATTGGTAACTATCTGTATAACTATGTGCTAAACTCTCTTCTAACCATTAGACCATATATACCTTTGGAGTTAACATACGGACTAATAAACCAGCTCAGCAGAATCAGAAGTAATCGAACTATAATTTTGGATCTCGTTTATAGTAAGATATATATAGACGCTAAGATACCAAAGTACCACTAGACTTGTTCCCATGCCGGTCTGCTGAACAAACGTGGTTTGCAGTCCTATGTTATACTCTGTGTTAAACATTCTAAGCTCTGATTTTGATATAGTTCCTGCTTGTTGTTTCTGCCTACCTATGTTACGCGCTTCCTAAGGCTAATTCCACCTTGTTCTTTGAACTTGACTCTCCCCTTCCTACTGGGTAGCAGGTCGTCCCCCCCCCCCCATGCCTTTTCCCCCATGTCAGTCTGGTCAATTTTCCCCATCAGTGGTTATGACTCCTAAAGTTATTTTTAAAATCTAAGATAAACGTAGGCTACTATAACTGTTAACATGTGATAGTTAGTGCGGTATCTGTACTTTTGTTGTAGTTTTTCCTAAGTTTCATAGAATTTTATAGACTAACAAGCCGTCAGTTTCACGGCGGCGGGCGGGGATGCCAGGTTCCCCCACCACTAACACAGCCCGGGTGCGGTGTCAAGTTGGAGATTTCAGGGACTACTTGCTTGTGTTTGAATGTTTCAGTCAGAGACTTTTATGTTTAAATTATTTTAAATCATAGATGTTTACTTTTCAATGTTTTCAATCGTGGTTATTTATGTATAACTTGGCACACTGCATCTGGCGCTGTGCTAACATCAGGCAAAACGGTAGTCAACATATAAGAAAGTAGTATGCAACAACGACATCACATGTAAACACTTATAGTAACATAATTTTATCTTAGATTGAAAAAAATAACTTTAGCAGTAATAACCACTGACAGGGAAATAACCAGACTGACATAGGGGAAAAGGCATGGGGGGGAAACGACTAGACCTTGTGTGCAAAGTTTCGGTGTAAGTGATTGAAAAGTTCCCGCCGGTATAACTTCCCCAAATGCATTTTTGTTGTTTTGAGAATTGGTATCATTTATACCCTTGTTCTGTGCGTTCTAAATTTGTGTCCAAAATTGCGGTTTTCTTAGCTCCAAGCTTGGGTCGGCAAACTTTGCATAAGGTATATTGTTATTCATTAATTATCACCTTGTCCTTGCTTTTGTCCTTCGTTCCCACCTTGCCGCTTGTCACCCCTCTAAGCGGTGTGAACTGCCATAAGTCTTTGTGCCCTCGGCCATGTGCTAGACCTCCCTGACTTGTGCCATATTGGTGTGAAACGTCCCTTTTGTTTTTTTGGGCACCTGATTTACATCTAAATTTTTGAATTCTGATCAGGGCGTCATCTATTGTTCTGGCTCAAAATCTGTTGGTTTAGGCACCTTTGATCTGTTTTCCAAAACACCAACAAAAGTTTTTTTGGCTAGTAGTATTTTTCTCACCTTCCCAAAAAACCTTTTCGCCTACTCTGGTGTTGATCTCAATGACCGCTGACCCTTTCGTGTTTTGGCTCTTTTGCTTTTCATTCCCGTTTGGCATTTAATTTTCCCAAACATGGCCGACAAAATTCTTTCATATGGCCCGACTGCCTTCCGAAGTTTGCCCAAGAGCCCCAACCACACTTCCTCTCCTACTGCTCATATCTGTGCTCCAGGAGGGAATCATTTTTGCACATATTTCAGAATATCTGAAATAATCCATCCACCTCTCTAAAAAACAAAAGTTAGCACATCCTGACGACCGAGTGACTTTCTACTTCAGGATGGCTGGTAACGAAGATCCCTTTCGTGGAACATTGGACAACGCACAACGCGCTGGACTTCCACGTCCAGATGAAGAGGCGTCAGATGAAGAGATGGAGGCACTGGAGCCACCTCAAGCCAACATCGTCCCGCGCGCCAACACCCGACGTGGTCCAGGTGACTATACAAGACAAATGGTGCTGATAAACATTTTTCAACTGGAAGGGAATACGGCACCTCGGACGAACGATAACCAAATCGTCCGCGTAGTCATAAACCAAGCACTAACCAGTGGCCAATTGTTGGCCAGGATAAAGGAAGGCTTCCTGGATCCAAATCGCGTGAACGTCCGAGCGGCAGAACGGCGTAAGATTGAGAGAGCTTCCTTAAGGTAAGTTGTTCACATTCGAATATTCATAATTTAAAGATCAATTTGTAAACGTAATGTAAAAAGTTCGCAAGCCGTATTTTCATCACTCATGTCTATTTGAACACTTTTCAAATTTATACCCTTTTCATCATTCGATATAATTTCATTCGGGGTGAATTCTGTATGTAAGTCGCAAAATAATAGTGTCGAAATTTCGTTTGATCTTATGTTTGCTGTTCTTGATGATTAGCATCTATAGCTTTACGCCATAGGAATATGAGGAAAGCTTTTTTTTCTTCCAAAAAGATACGCGTTTGGTTACATCATACTTTTGTGAGATGACGGCTGTCTTATGACGCACTGGTGTTTAACTTTTGAATGTTGGATTATCCAAAACAATTGGTGTCATTTATTTCATGACTTTATGTGCTGAAATATATTTATTTCCAATTTTATATATTTTGCTATGGGGGGTGGCTTGTCACTGAATGCTATCCGGGATATTTCTGCTGGCGACAGATTTAGGAATAATTTATCTGACTCGGTTCGTACTTCACACCAGTAGCCTTTCCGCTGACGCATAGTTTGAGATTCCAAAGCAGCTGTTCCAAAGATTCCAAAGTTCTCAAAACGTGAGCGCTTGAACTTGCTGTGGGGTTCTCTAGGCAGAACAATCCACTTGTGATTGTTCAATTTTTCAGACGCTTTGCATTTGTTTATAGGAAAACCGTTTATAGCTTGGCCTGTTGTACTAGTATATGTGCGCGCTTGGGTGAGTTCATGACACTTACATGAAACAATGTGCTAATGCTAATAGCCGACTCGTCAGCCGTCATTGGCTAATAGCTGCGTTAGTCGGTGACCTGTCAGCAGCCCTCTGATTGGTCCGCTACAAACCTACTGGATGTCGTATAGTGTACACATATAAACATGGATGACATAAATAACTCGCTCTGGGCAGAAGCTAGTTACTTTGGAATGTTCTACTTTTGTACGGGTGTGAGTAGAAGCAGGAACACTGTCAAAAAGATATATATATATTTAAAATAAATGCAATTGTAAAACATATATGTTTAATTAGAATATATATATATATATATATATATATACTTTTCAAAACAATATTGCAGAGTAGTTTCTTCCGGTCAGAATTCTTCCTTTCGCATAAAACATTGAGATTTTCTAGAATTTTCCAAAGTCTACAATTTTGACGGTTTCATCAAAAGATGCTTAAGTATTGCAATTGGTTCTGTGGGAATAGGCTGATTATTCACGGCACCAAAAGAGACCGTAAATCAACAATATTTGACATCTTAGATCTTAGGACCATGGAGGTTGGAAAAAAGAGATTAGGATCAGACAGTTTGCCACAAAGGTCTTTAATTACACATTGTTTTTGTGTGCAAAAGTTAACACGTTGTTGCTAATTACGCTAATGAGTACATCTAGCCATAGTCTGTGTAACGCAAAACTCTGCCGTCCGCTTTAGCAACAATGTGTTAACTTTTGTACACAAAAACATGTAATTAAAGACCTTTGTGGCAAACTGTTTGATCCTAAGATCCTGAAAATTTTAAGATTGTGGCATGGAAAGTTTAAGAGTTACAACAAAATGTATGTCAAATATTGTTGATTTACGGTCAATTCCGCGTCACCGTTTTCTCCATGTTTGTAAGAAAAGAATACCCCAGTAACAAAAGTTCTAAATTTTTAAAAAATTTGAAAATTAAAACTTTAATATATTTGAATTCATTTAGATATTTCTGAAACACTTTGAAGGTGGCTGTACAAAGATCTCCATAATGATCTTACAATAATGAAAAGGCTTTTTGGAATGAAAATTTTTATATGATAGGGGTTTTGAAAACACCACTTTTTGTGAACAATATATGTTTTGGAATTTAATGTATTTAAGATATATATATTGTTTTGAAAATGTATATATATTTTCTTCTTAACTATATATGTTTTACAACTGTATGTATTTACTATACATATATTGTTTTGAAAAGTATATATGTATTCTTATTAAACATATATGTTTTACAATTGTATGTATTTTAAATATGTATATCATATTTTTGACAGTGTTCCTGCTTCGTAGAAACAGTCCATAATTTTTATTGGGAGGGGTATGACTGAAATATGCTGTATTTTCTCTTGAGCAAATGCCTCTCTAGTTTCATCTGATCCATCTAGTGGATAACGGGAAAAGTTACATGTACTTGCAATTTTCGGCTTCTTTTTACCGCTATTATCGGCTGTGTTTGTCTGTGAAGCGCTGTCCGATGATACTGAGATAAGGTGTGCATTTTCGAATGAGATCAAATTGGGGATATCTGGCTTTCGCCTACAATTTTGTCTTCAATGAACCTAAGACCACAACTCTTGTGTTTTTTGTTTGGAAATAAGAATATTGAAAGATTTTTGTTTATACACGGATTTCCGTTGGGGTCGCCCTTTTACATTCAAACGTTGCAGTGGCGTTTGTTTGGTTGCAGGGGGGGGGGGTGATACTATCCCATCATCCTTTGCAAAACACATTCCACAACACGTGTCCCAGATGGCTGACTGTCAGCACCAGGCATATAGTCTTGTCATGTTTCCTTTAAAAGTGCAGCAATGGCAACAATTTGACCAGTAATTTTTGGTTCTTTGAATTATCAAAGGACTCAAGTAGTGTATGAGGCTATCTGACTTTTTGTAACTTATGTACAACTTCTTACATTGTGTCATAAACATTTATGCAAACATTTGCTTCAAAAATGGTGCTCAAACTTCACCAAACTAAAGTGCTTTTCTACAAACTCTGTTGATTGGTGATATTATACATCTGGATGCTAATCGGCAGCCTTTCAGCGGACGCAAACATAGTTTGAGGTGTAAAAAACATTTCAATGTCTAAAAACTACAGGGGTTTTTCTAGAAAAATCTGGCATGAGTGAACACTGCAATATCACGGCGAGGGAGCAAAGCGACCGAGGGGGGGGGGGTGCGGAAGAGGGGTTTCGAAGTTGAAATGGGACAGTTTGAGGCAACTTGAGTTGAGGGGGGAAATTTGAACTCTTTCATTGTATGTTTCTTTGAAAACAAACAACTATGATTATGAGAAGGTCTGTTTACTTGGATTTTTTTTAATTTCAAGATTTAGACACTCACTCACACAGTCCTCTTAGCTTGCACAAAATTTACAATATGCTAGATACAATGCTCAATACAAATTTCCAGTACTATAATGTATGTAAAAGCCATAGGAGAAGGATAGATAGACTAAAATAATTCAATGTTTTTTTGTCAATATATTTCCTAAATTTCTATTCATGCATTGCATATTACAATCAACACAATGTGCACATCACCCTTTATACACTTACACAATTAGTGATCAATGTTACTAGTAGCCCTAGATGACAACATTGGGTTTGCCACAGCCTTTCACATGGCAAACATTGCAACACCTTCATCCAGGCTGCTACAAACTCAGGTCTCATGTTTCACTTCAGAGCCTGTTCTATAGTATGCAAATGAAGGAGGCTTACATGTAGTCTTTGCGCAAGTTCTCAATGAACTATGTACTTTACTCCATTCAGACTTTTACTACTAGAGCTAAATTTTCATGTTTGTGGTAAGATTTTGGAATTTTCATGAGAGAAACATAGTTTGTAATCCTAGAATACATTGTTATGTGGTGTTGTTTTTGGATTTTTACTGGAAAAAGATAATTTTGAAAAAGACTTCAATCTGAAAATTGATATGAGGGCGCTAGCTTGTTACATAAGGGCGGAGCGCCCTTGTTCCCCTTTTTAGAAAACCCCCCGGATCGGATACCGCATGTACAAAACCAGAGTAAAATGTCTTAATGTTGGGATCTGTTGCTTTTTTGGAGCTGAATGTTAAAGGTAAGGGTTATTTGCATTTGATTATGTAAAAAAATGGAGTTTGTGCCATGTTTGGTGTGTCCAGGCCAGAAAAGAAGTCCTGAGTTTCCATGCTATCATCAGCTGGTGATAGAGGTCAGAGGTCACTTCTTAAAGTTTATGCTAGCATTTAGATGCCTTTAGCAGTATTTTTTTATATCAACAAAATTGACAGTTTAGAGGCCGAGTGACCCTATGAATGCGTGCTCTTGATGCAGTTTCACTCAGGCAGGTGGCTTTTCACACCTTCTTTCTTACATGTTTTCCATACATTTCAATGGGACAGTCCATTACCCGCTCTGTGTGTAGTTAAGTCACTTTTTAGCCTTTCTAGCTAATTAACTGGTCCCCCAAATTTGATGTTCAATATATTGTCACTAAGATATTTTCTTCCAGAACTTACAACAAGACATGAACCATAGGATGCATAAGATACTTTCTAAGTATATAGACTCCAATTAAAGCATACTGATATAAAGATATGAATATAATCAGAGCTAAATTTTATCACTTTTATGCTCCCGGCGGAAGCCCTAAAATCATGTATTTGACACAAATTTGGTATGTATGTATTCTGCAATGATCACTCTATAATATTCAAGTGGTCCCACATCTACCAATATCATTATAGCAGAGATATTCTTTAATATGTTCAAAATATTACCAAAAATGGCATAATTGAAATATTCATAGATCCCATACAATGTACTGGAAATGTGCACAACCCTGGGACCACTTGAACATTAAAATTCAACTTGTCTACTTTTCAGACATGTCTTTTGCGTGAAACAAGAACATTGCATATGTTTCCGCCTTTGAGAAGAAAAAAATATGACAAAATTGCAACTTTTGGCCACTCCAAGGATGACATATGATATCTTTGTTTGGATAAGGGGACAATATGGCCAATTAGTTTGTTGACTCAGACCCTGACAGCAGGGTACCAGAATACCTGAGGAAAACAATAGGCAAATTCACGGCTGCTTCACACCTTTACCTGCCATGCCAGACAGTTTGGCTTGGGTTGATAAACAAGTACAATAGACACTTTTTAGCACTGGAGTATCTGAAGAGACAATTAGCAAGCACAGCACACATACATGT